TGGCAGCAGCTGGAGCCACAGCTGGTTTGTCCACAGCAGCTGGGCTGGCAGCAGGGGGAGCTGCAGGAGCTGGTGATGCAGGCAGGTTGCCAGCAGGTGGTCCTGCAGTGGGTGGTTCTGCAGCAGGTGGGCTGGCAGCAGGGGGAGCAGCAGGAGTGGGTCATGGTGTGCGGTGTGGAGGGCGGGTCCTGGTCACAGGTGAGTTCCTTGGGATGTGGGGACCTCTTTCTGTGTGGACCTTTTATACAGGAACCTTCCCAGTTGGACCAATCAGGAGGACTTTTCTTTGTTGTTGTTTACATCAGTTCCTTATTTTGATTGGAATCAGCAAGGAGGAAGTGGTTAGCTAGGTGTTGAGAATCCTTTGAAAGTTAAGTGTTTAATCTGTCTCATAATTGGCAGCAACTCAGGGACTTTTCCGGATAAAAGGAAACAGTCATCAGCATCCTTCCTTCTCTGATTGTCTTCCTGGCACATGCAGCTCCTGTGGCCCTGGGAGGGTCTGAGTGTCCTTTCATTGCCGCTTTGTCCCCTTGGCTCCATCTCTTAAGCATTGTCCCCTTTCATTGCCGCTTTGTCCCCTTGGCTCCATCTTGTTGGGCAGTGCCTCCAGGCATGGCTCTCTGATGGCCACAGTGACAGACTGAATGGCTGCTTCCACGTCTGTTGCCTACATCAGCCTGAGCAGGCTTCTGTGTGTCCCCACTCCCCCACCCATGTGCCGTTAAGGACAACTGGGAAGAGGAGCCTGGGTAAAACGCATTCCTGAGGCACCGAAGACCCAGAGAAGCGGAGCAAGTGTGTCAAAGCAGATGGATTCCTCTGGGACTTGGATCAAGTGACATTCTCAGTGTCTTTGCCAAGGGCCACAACTTTGCAGACTGAGGAATTTTATGTGTCCAGGGGAATAACTTCCTATCACCGGGGCAGTTCTGGGAATACCAGCTTTGTTGGTGGCAGGGTTCTTGGGTCATCGACTGCACATTTCTTGTGGTCTTTCTTGATTTCTTTTCTTCTTAAGGAAATAATTACATAAGAGGAGATTATATCTGGGTTATCTGTGAGTTCTGATATGTTCTGGTCTCTTCTGAGGCATAACACTCCATTGAAAAGTGCTTTAGTACTAATTTCCAACTTGGTAGATCACCACAGAGTGAACCACTGAATCTGTGTCGCTAACCAGGTGAAGGGCTAGAGGCGAGTTCCGTCTGCTTCCGGCCCTGTCCCCTCACTCAGCCCCACCAGTCTATTCGCTTACAGTACTTGCAGTCCGGAAGTACGTCCCACCATTCCTGCCACTTTCTGAAGCACTTCTGCAAGTCCGCCTTCCGGGATGTCTTCGGCTGCACAGTTGCGGCCTCCTTGGTATCCTGAAGTGGTTGAAAATGTTGGCCTTTCACAGTCACTATGATTTTGGGGACAGGCAGAAGTCACACAGCACGGGATCTGCTGGATGAGGAGGACAAGGCCGTGCAGTAGCGCCTTCCAGGCCCGCCTTCCTGGTGGGCGACGCCGGCAGCGGCGGCCACCAGGCTTCTGCCCACAGCTTGGGAAGGCACAGAGGCACTTTCAGGAGTGACGCAGGAAGCGGCGAGCGTGAGGGAGGGAACAGGTGTGTCTGAGGAGCCAGGGCCTTCGGAAGGGGGTTAGTGCAATGTGCCTTGTTACTGTAGTAAATTAAAAAATTAAAAATTCATATCTTCAGTCACGCCTCATTTTCTCTGCTGTGGATGGGCGTGTGAGTTGTCAGCAACTTAAGGCTATGAAAAAATTAAAGACTAGTTTTGCGATGGGATTTTTGAAGGGGACTTTTGGTAAGTAAGTATAAATATTTCTTTTGACTAAAACACCTAGAGATAGAAGAGCTCCTGGATTTTCTCAGCACGATGCTTATGCTGGTCCTTGGAGAGGTCTTGTACATCTTTCATTAGAGTCATTCCTAAGTATTTCATGTTTATGCTAATGTATCTATTGTACTTAAAAATTTAACTTTTATCTATCTGAAATGAGAAAAATAATTTTTGTGTTTATCAATCTTATATCTCCCTTATTGTTTCTAATAGTCTATCAGCAAGTTTTTTGGGTAAAATTTTACATGAGGGGCCAGGGAGACGGCTCGGTAGAATAAGCGCTTGCCTGGCAAGTGCAAGGGCCTGAGTTCAATCCCTGGTTCTGAAAAAAAAAAAAAAAAAAGTTTTGGAGTGCTGCGTTCTGGGTGTAGACCCCGATCCAGACCCTCATCAGGCCCAAGGCCCAGGTGCAGGCTTGGTGTGTCACCCAGCTGGACACAGAGCAGTGCAGAAGAGCCGCGGCCACTAGTGCCTTCACATTACTTTGGCTGTAGCTGCGCCACCCTGGTTGCTACTGGTGGGATCACTGGCAGGGCAAAAGCAGGTAGCGTGCGGAGCCTGGCTGCTGGGCTCCTCTTCAGGAGCTTCGCAGGCCTGGGGGCTTACCAGCTGTCTCAGGACCCCAAGAACATTTGGGTTTTCCTAGTTACATCCAGGACCTTGGTTGGCATTATGGGAATGAGATTCTACCACTCTGGAAAATTGATGCCTGCAGGTTTAATTGCAGGTGCCAGTTTGCTGATGGTTGCTAAAATTGGACTGAGTGTGTTGAGCAGACCACGTTCAGAGCGCTCATGTCCAGCTTGAACTCAGGAAGAATTAAACATCTCTGGACTTCCACTTTTTAAATGTATTGAAGAAATTCAGAACATGTATATACTTTTGCAATTTACTTAAAACAAAAAACTGCGCTTGGTGAGGAAAGCGTCGGTCACCAGCATCACACCCTTTGGAGGTGGTTGTACCCCAGAGAGCTCAGCGCTGCCCTCACACGGTTGGGTCTTCTGTGGCGAGCCCACCTCTTGTTTCTGTATCAGTAGTTAGAAATCACGAGCAGAAGATGCTCGCGTCAGCACTGGGGCCCCAAAGCCTCACGCCCTGCTCAGAACATTGTGAAAAACTTCTGGTGTGTTCTTTTGCTCATCTTAGAGCACAGACCTATTTTGAAATTATGTTAAATGGAATAATGAAAATAAAATTTATTATTAATAGCAAAACCCCCAAAATTTCACATGACAGTTATGGTATGAGCATAATAGGTATCAGGGCTATCTTCCTATATTCTTATATTGTGGGGGCAACTCAGTAGTTCATATTTATTATATTTTCTGTCTGTTTTATAGATTATTTTATCAGAGTGGCTAGAATTTCTCTTTCTTATTTTCTAAGTGATTCTATCTTGAGAAAGTGTGGAAATTTATAACATGTCTTTTCCTTCACGCATTTAGGTGACGCTGCAATTATTTTATGCCTCAGAAAAATGTAGTTAGAATGCTGTTCACACGTCACAACGCCCTTGCGTTTCTGCAGACAACTGAACATGGCTGAGATGGTGTCTCAGTTACTTTTTCCTCATTGTTGGCACAAAATACCCGACACCCAAAACTAAGGCAGGACAGGCTTATTTAGCTCACAGCTGGTGGGAGTTTCAGTCCACAGCCGACTGGCTCCAAGGCAGAGTGGCACACGGCAGAGGGCAGCTCATGGAGGTGGAAAACAGCACAGAGCGCAGGGAGGGCAGCAGCTGCGGCCCCTAGCAAGCCTCTCTCTCTTCCCCACAATGCATTCAGGCTGTCGGGCGCAGGGCGGGTGCAGCGCTCACACCCATAATCCCAGCATTGGATCATGAATTAATCACAGACTCTAGAAGCTGCCCCAGTGACTGCATGAGGCTTTGGGGGGACACCTAGACACAAGCCATAACAGATAGCATATGTGTAACATTAGATTTGATTTGTTTATGTCCTGGTTAGGAGATACTTGCATGACCAGAATTTAATCTGCTTGCACTGTATATCCTCCACCTTTTCCAATAAAGTCCGCTCCCAGTGTGCCAAGATCCCCCACTGCCCTGTGGTGCACAGTGGCCTTGGTGCGGCTTCCTGGACTGGTGCTGGTGTAGAGTAGGGGTGCGGAGTAGCAGGCAGAGGAGACTGCCCCATGGGTGCCCGAGGCAAAGCCTTCGTCTGAAGGGTTCTGCTGTGGTCTGGGGATGGCTGGTCCCCCAGGGATTTATGGCAGCTGTTTGTGGCAATCCCTAATGTGGTGGTGTGGGTGTGGAGGAAACTTTAAGAAGCTGGGAATAGTGGAGGGGAATTAGGTCGCAGAAGGCCCACCTTTGCGAGTGCATAGGTTGGGGCTCCAGAAGTGGGTTGGGTTTTGTGAGAGAACGGGTTGCTACAAAGCAAGTTAGGCTTTCTCCCCATGTCTGCTGCCTCTTCTTCTCTCTATGCTGCCTCTGTCCTCGCTTTCCTGCTTACTGATGTGCTGCGCTCTGAGCCAGCCAGGGTCAACTGGTGCTGAACTCTTCGGCCTTTCCAGCTACCAGAATCCCCAGCCACATTCACCTCTTTATGCATCACCCAGCCTCAAGCATTTTGGTATAGCAGCACAAAGCAGACGAAGACATACACCAAAAGAGACAGCTGGCTGTGGGTAAACTGCACTCTAGCCTGGTAGAGAATGTATAATAGCAAACGTGTTTCTCAGATAGGAATGCAGTGGTCGACTGTGGCGGGTGTGATGAAGGGGGACGTCAGTGCCGATGCTAGCAGTGCTCAAGGACAGAGTGGGGAAGGGGCACTTTGTACCCCGAGCTCACCATTTCCTTCGGTGGGACATTACAGTAAACATTCTGTCATTCCAAATTCTGGTTCATTACTCACAAACTGCCCCTCACGTATAACCTGATTTCTCTTCCATTTGTGCACCTAGAAATGATCAGTTACATAGAGTAGGAAAATTTCTGTTGATGCTTTCATAATTGCAATTAATAAATAAACACATTTGTTTTGTAGGGTGCATGCAGTTGTCGGACTCTAAAGAAGGGGCTCAGCCTTTTCCATATAAATAAGATCAGCTTCCTGAATTTGCAAGAATCAACCTCAGAGTGTGGCAGATTCGTGGAAATTATGACAATCAACTTGGGTGCTTTTGGATGACAAGTTTCCTTTTATCCCTGGGTGAACGCATGACAAAGCCACTCTGTACTTTTCTCTAAAAATGATATTCCCTTGAATGCTTGTAGACTTCAGAAAGTGATGGTGACATTATCAATCAGTCAACCCATTAGACTGAGCACAGAGAGACGCCTAGAGATCTCACAGAACTCAGTAAGAAAGTCACTCTGAGGTTATCCCTGCTCCAGAGGAGAGACTTCAAAGTGAGCGGGAATAGAGTAAAGCAGGGGACACCCGAAACAGGAGCACACTGGTGACAGATGGCACCGTGGTGAAGATCACTAACTGGCTGCCTGATCTGTGCGGAAGCTTTGGGAAGTTGTCTTTGTAATTATGTACAGAAAGAGCGGGAAGATCTTAAGAGTCAGGGCTGAAACCATCACTCCAAATCCAGGGCATGAGGAGATGACACTTGATCCCAGGATGCAGGAAAGAAGGGAAACGGGGCGAAGTACTGTGCACACCATCAAACTCGTTGCCAAGTTTTATATAAGTGGAGTCATAAGAGAAATTTCAGTGAAAGCGGGGCTGGCTATCGGCAGAGCCTAGGTGACTAGCAGGTCAGAACCCTGTGATGACGGTGTTCTCTGGGGAAGGGTCTGCAGCAAGAAGGCTGCAGGAGCAGCTGGGCTAGCAGCAGGAGGTGCTGCAGCCCCCTGGGCACACCGCGGGTGGACTTCCAGCAGGAGGTCCTGCAGGAGCTGGGCTGGCAGCGGCTGGACACACAGCACCGAGGCTGGCAGCAAGGGGTGCTGTAGCAGCTGGCCACATAGCTGGGCTTGAAGCAGGTCCTGCAGCAGGTGGTCTGGCAGCAGCTGGGCTGGCAGCAGCTGGAGCCACAGCTGGTTTGTCCACAGCAGCTGGGCTGGCAGCAGGGGGAGCTGCAGGAGCTGGTGATGCAGGTAGGTTGCCAGCAGGTGGTCCTGCAGTGGGTGGTTCTGCAGCAGGTGGGCTGGCAGCAGGGGGAGCAGCAGGACTGTGTCATGGTGTCAGGTGTGGAGGGCGGGTCTTGGTCACAGGTGAGTTTGTTACGTTGTGATGACTTCTTCCCATCTGGGCCTTTTTGTGCACTGGACCCCCATGTTGGGGCCAAGAAGCAGGACTTTTCTTTGTATTTTGCTGTTGTTATTTGTACTGCTGATGAATTGTCAGTAAGGAATTGTCCATTGAGTGTGTTGGAGGCTTTGAAATTGCTGTCATAATCTGTCTCTCAATTACAGCTGCTATTTGGGAGCCTGGAAGTAAGAGGCAGGAGCCACTACCAGCATGGTCTCTGCTCCCGTGGCAGCGTCTGGTCAGCTGCCTGTTCCTGGTGGCTCGGGAGAGCCACACAGTCGTCTTTCCTGGTCTTTGTCCTTTAGTCATACCCAGACAGCGAAGCCAATGAGAAGGCCGGACTCTGGATGATGGCTTCGGGGTGAACTGAATTGCCATCTGGGTCCAGCCGAGCTGGCTACTCAGAAAAGCTTAACTCAGGGCCACAGCGAGCACCCTGCCCGCATTCCAGTTCCGCATCCATCAAGGGCACGGGGAGGGAGGCAGAAGGTGTCCCCTGCGCACGTTGGGACCGAAGCAGGAAACAGGCGGGGTGCGCACGGGGTGTCAAGAGCCCTCCCCCTATGAATAGTCGTCTGTGTTTCTGGCTGGCTGGGGCAGCCCAAGTGAGATTTCCTCAAGGGGTTTTGGACGTAAGTATGAAGGGCCCCACACTTCGCCTGTCTTGATAAGCGGAGGACAACAAGTTCCGTAATATGATGCGCAGGATATTCCTTCTCTGTGAATGTATACATTTCAACAAGTGGCAGAAATGATCCGCCATGTCTATTCCTTTTCCTCTCTCTGGGGTGTGCGTGCAGGTTTAGAACTGTCGTCAGCGGGGAGACGCGCAGTTCACAGGAGCAGAGAGCGAGCGCGTCGCGCCTGCCACCGCGATCTCCCGGCCTGATACTGGAGGCTTCTTCCTTCTAGCAGTGCGTGGTCATGCCTGAAGTTTGCCTAACTTATACGTAGACGTTGGTTTTTCCCTTTTCTTTGGGAGGTGCCCGTTCAACGCTTCTGTGTTTGTTCTTCGTCGTTCGTTTTTCGCTGTGTGGGTTTCGGCTGTGCGTGCTCTTGTGTGTAGTCGACTGATGTCTATAAATCTGTGCGTGAGCGGACGTGGAGGTCAGCACCGCAGAGGCTGCTCGGACGTGGCGCGCGTGTGCGTCGCTGCAGGGAGCGAACGCCTTTCTTTTTTCTTTTCTTTTCTTTTTTTTTTTTTTGGTGGAACCGGGGATTGAACTCAGTCCCTTGCACTTGCCAGGGAAGCGCTTATTCTACTTTTTAAAAATTTCTTTTTTCAAGCTTTTATTAATCCAGGTTTGTAGTCCATGATCATCGCAGGGGTTGGTACATGCACATAAGGCATGTCAGCTCCTTTCTTCGCCCCACCCCTTGATACTTCCTTTTAATTTTTTTTAAATTAAAAAAATGCCCATTTTAAAGTGACAAGAAAGTCATAAAAACATGAGAAATGAGACAGAATTTTTTTTTAAAGGTAGGAATTCAACAGTGATTGTTACATTGCGTATTGTTATCTTCAAAGTAGCTGTTCAGGTTGCCAGATATCAGCATCTGAAGTTGGTCAAAAAATTAAGCATTAGGGCCGGGCAGATGGCTCAGTGGAGTAAGCGCTTCCCTGGCAAGTGCAAGGCCCTGAGCTCAATCCCTGGTTCTGCAAAAAAAAAAAAAAAAAAAAAAAAAAGCATTAATTTTCCTTTTCAATAAACCAATAGAAATTATCTTAGCTAATATATATTTGTGTGTGTGTGTGTGTGTGTACTCCCTTCTTTGTTTTTTGCAAGAAACCATCTCTTTTCTTTTTACATCATCTGGTTCATGTATTTATTTTAAAAGTCCTTATAATTACAATGTATACAGATTGAAAATAAGACTAATATGCCAAAGGATATAATAACCTGTTTTGAAACTTGGTTTTGTTGTTCTGTTTGTCCCTTTTTCCTCTTTGTAAAATTAAAAAAAAAACACATAAGATGATTGCACTAAGTCAGACTATCTGCTGGAATCATAGGAACAAAGAGGAAGAGGAAAAGAGGAGCCGTAATCCAGTGCACACAGTGTACCTAAAAGCGCACGTGTTGCAGACATTTTATCCTGCATCTTCTAGTTTATTTACCTTTGATTCTCTTAACGTTGTCTTTTGGCAAGTAGGAGTTCTTACTTTAAGGTGTAATACTTTTAACTACCCCAAAATTCTACCACTTTCTTAATGGTACATGTAAAGTCTTGTTTCACAAATCTTTACGTAAAAAACAAAAAACAAACAACAAGAACAACAAAACCCAAATCTCTATGTAGCCCAACATTTTGAAGATATTCTCTATTGTGTTTTAAAACTTTACCCTTTTACTTTTTACATTTATACTTAAAATACAGCTTTAGTTTATTCTAGTTATTTTATTTTCCTGGATGGAAAGTGTCACAAAAGGGCCAGGGTTCTGAAGTAGTGACCCATTGATTATTCAACACCTTGTCACTTAGTCTCCATGTACTGGCAAAGTTTCTGAGGCTTCTTTCTCTCCCTATTGATTAAATTTCATTCCACTATGATCTGATAATTTGCTGGGAATTATTTCATTCCCTTTAATTTTTTTATAGCCAGCATAGTTTTACATGATTAATCTTTGTATATCTCATAGGTTTATTTGTGTTAATGTTTTATTTAGACATTTTGTATTTCTGATGCGCTCCCTGAATGTGTTCTGCTCTGGCGTCTCTTCCTGATGAATCCACGTCAGGCTTGGGAATCAAATTTATGCTGACCAGGTCCAATAAAAGAGTTAGACGCTCTTCTCTCCTTTTAGATTATCAAGGAAAGTTTAATAGCTTATTATTTATTCCTTAAATATTTTGTGTTTGCTAAAATACTTTGGTAGAAGATGGTAGTGTCTGCCTGCTACACGTCTCTCTCTTGTGTGTTTGTGTGTGTGTGTGTGTGTATGCATGTTTGTACTGATTAAATTTCTTGCATTTATATAAAAATCTTTTTTTTCTTTTTTTCAGCAGAACCAGGGATTGAACTCAGGTCCTTGCACTTGCCAGGGAAGCGCTTATTCCACTGAGCCATCTCCCTGGCCCCTATATAAAAATCTTTATGTTTTCTATTTATTACACCACCTTTAGTAAGTTTTTTGCTTGGAAACTACCTACATTGTAGTAATTAAATTTTTTGGCATTAAGCCTTTCTAACATGGGCTAGTATGATTTTAAGTATTTTATTTATTTATTTAGGCAGAACCAGGGATTGAACTCAGGCCCTTGCACTTGTCAGGCAAGTGCTTATTCTACTGAGCTATCTCCCCGGCCCCAAGGTTAGTGTGATTTTAATGTTTTAGAATCTAGAAGAATGTCTCGTTATTATTCCTGATGCCAGCTGCAGATCCTTCTCTCAGTTCTTCCTGGATTAGTGTCGCCATGGCTTACCGATTATTTATCATTTTGTTTTCATAGAACCAACTGCAGAAAGATGAGAGACACTCGGACAGCTGTCCCAGCAGGAAGGGTTCACATCCAACAGCAAAGGTCACCGCTGTCCCACTTTTCTCTTCGCCAAGACAAAATATTTGGCACCCCAAGTTAAAGAAGATTCCAATACTGTCATAGATCACAGCTTGTAGAGGTTTTAGCTTGTCGCTGGCTGGTCCCAAGGCCGGGGGGCGTGGCAGAGAAGACCCAGGCCACGGGAAGCTGCACGCAGCCGAGCCGCACAGAGTGAAGCAGCAGCACCACACGTTCCTCCTGTCCCTTCGCAGTCTTTTCAGCCTCCCCACCCTTGGGGTAGTGCTTGTGCCTGCCAAGTGGGCCTTCCTCCTATTACCCATGCCAGAACCTTTCGAAGCCACTCAGTGGATTAATTTAGTGACCACCCTGATCCCAGCATCATACTCTTAATCCCAGAACACACACTCTAGATCCAGCCACCTCTGAACACCAGCGACCGCATGAGGCTTTCAGGGGATGTCTAGGCACGAGCAGAACACTTGCCTGAAGTTGTTCCTTAAGGGCCAGCCAAATAGCTCAGAGGATTAAAGCGCCTTCGTAGGCAGACACAGCAGCTGGGGTTCAATCCCGGGCCTGCCGTGCCAGCCCTGCCCCCAGGACACACTAAGACAGCGATTGAGACTGGGCCTGGTGGCTTGCGCCTGTAATCCCAGCTCTTTGGGAGGCTGAAAACAGGCGGGTCACTATGAGTCCGAGCTATGTAGTGAGACCCTCTACAGCCTGTAGACCCTTGCAAACAAAGAAAAACATAAAGTTGTTTCTTAACATAGCATCCTGCCAGACGGTCACCCAGCTTCCATGAAGGCTGAGTGTAGCCTCAGAGTGGCCTGTCCTATTCAGTTCTCCTGCAGCTGATTTCTGCTTACTGAATTTCACCGAGTTTAGCCTCAGACACTCTTCCCACACGGGCCCCTGTGGTTTGTGCAGTCCGAGTGCCACACTTTCAGGGCTCCCACTCTCACTAACCCTCTTCTCCGCAGTGCCCAGGTCCAGGGAGCTGCGATCATCCTCCTCTGAACTGAGGCCCCTCCCTTCCCTCTGCGCAGGAGACCTCCTGCCCAAACCCACCTTGCAGACCTGCCTAGCTGGGCAGACCTTCGGCATGACCACTCGCCCAAGTTCCTTTGAGCTGAGAACGCCAGCCCTGCTTTCGTGTTCTACTCACACTCAGAGGCATTTCCAAAGCACTTGTGATCTGCCCACGTGCTGTCTGCCAGGGAGGAGCCCTGTGAACCACTGCTGTTCTCACTGCCCCGCCTTTCTACTTGAATCACTTCGTGGGCTGCTTTGGGATCCCGTCCTCCACATTTGGCCGTCACCACCGTCAGTCATGGCCCACCTCTCCATGTTTGCCACTGTAGACATAACACACAGTGGCATATCCCTGGGCTTCAAAATCACTTGTCGAGTATCTGGCCCCCATAT